ACCCCCCCGCCCCTTGGGGCAGAATAACTAGATATCTCAACAATATTAAGGACAGCATTTTTTTGCATAAGCCAACTTAATAAAAATTAAATACTAAATTACTCTTTGACCCATATAAGAAGAATTGTTTAAGATTCAGGGGGCAGCTGAATGACTGACTTTGACTTGACCAACTATTTTTGGTACATGTTCTAATGTGAAAGAAACGCTTTGGTTTTTAACAGTTTCGGATGGAGGAGGAGAGGAGAGAGAGAAAAAAGTAGATATTTGTTTATATGGAACCAGAGCTTCTCTTTGTGAGAGGACAGAGACTAATTTAGTACTTTTTGAAGTGTTCCCAAACACCAGCTTACAATACATGCTCCTTTCAATGGGATCAAGATTTTGATGCTCTTGTTTACATTAAGTGTAGTACCAGATATACTTCAGTAACCTTGTTGGAGTCAAATAATTCCTGGATATAAATAAAGATGTCAGAATTTGTTTTTTGAAGGTTATACATTTTTAATTACTGCTCTTACTACAGAAATGTGAGCCTACAGGCTCTTTAAGTTTGAAGTGTTATTAAAACAAAATATTAGTTTTAAAAACAAGGTAAATTGATTCTAAGATTTTGACAAAGTTGTGGAAATTACATTTAAGTCTAAATTAAAATGGGAACTGATATGCCTCTTCTTTCCACTAGAGGGAATTGGAAGCACTTGGATTTGCTTTGTTAAACACGTGGGGAAATTCCCAAGGGCTATAAAACTGTAATTGCTGTCTTGAACTTCAGTTTCCAGATCATGCAGTGTCTCATTCTTATGTTACTATTACGGCTGGTAATACATATTTAAAGATTGTTAACCTGCTACTTAGCTATTCATTAGTATTTAAAAAGTAAAAGGGGAAAACTTGGAAATTGGTTCAACAACTTATCCAACTGTTCCTGTGTTATACTCCCACCCAACCCTTCTGCATTTTGATGCTTTTAGTGCTAGGTTCTTCTTCATAACTGCCTAGTGTTAAGGAATCTTGTTCAATACTATAATTGCAAAGGAGTTTAAGGCAAAAACCATGCCATATTTAAAACTATGCTTTTCGCCTCCCTGCTGACCAGGAGTATTTGGGGGGAGGCGGGGAGGCATGCAGGGGAAACTGCAAGATTTAAGGAGCCATTGTACAATGCATTTTTTACTTCAGTAGGTCCCTATACATGGCCATGTATCTATCTGGCCAATACATAGCCTACTGAACACATGCAGTGTATACTCGTATGCTTATGTGTCCAAACTACTTGATAAGAGTGGGTGACAGAATTGCAAATTTTGTGTAGGTGCCAAAAAGTTCACTTGTATGTCTGGGAAACTGCCATTTAGGTTAACAGATTTCCACTGTTAGGACCAGCCTTACAGTCCATGTGTAGTTCATCATGACATACTTTTTTAAAGAAAATTTTAGCCTAGGGACTGAATCCAGATTTTCAAAAGTGGGTAGCAAGGCTGCATAGCAAAGTTTGCACATCAATATGCTTCAGTACCCACCAATTTGTCTGCACAAGCCATTCTCATTTGAAAATTAGGTTTCTAATATTACTTAGTAGAATAGTCAACATAAAATGTTATTTTTCCTTTCAACAGTGAATTTGGTACACATTTATCAGATAGTTACTTGTTAGATCTTGCAGGTATGTATCATGCAAAGCACTTACCATCTTGTTTAAATCCCATTGAATTCTCATTTGTTTGAACTGTAGGTGCTATGGCCTTTGTGTAGAGGATTGGAAAAATTTATAATCTACACGCACGCACACATTATACATGCATTATGTGCATGTGTATATGTATATATATGTGCGTGTATATACACGCACATATATACACACATGCGCACACACACATATATGCACACGTGTATATGTGTAAAAGAATAATATACTTTTAATGGAGCAAGTATGTAATGATGATTTAGTAGCTTATTTCTTACAATATACAAAAGCAGCAGACTCAATTTATTAGCCAGACCTAAAAAAGTTTTGTAGGGATGTTTTTCTTAATAAGTTATTTACCTATAAGCCCCTATTATCATTAAATCTTTACCCTGGAAAGAAATTCAGTGATTCAACCAGATAACAAATATTAAAATGAAAAAATGGTACCTTTGAATGTTTTATCAGATTTGTTCGTAGAGCAGAAGTATGCTGCAGAATCAAAACCTAAAACAGAAGATTTGCTTGGAAACGTTTGAGAAAAACTTAATTGATTTTGTAAAGTAACACTTTAAGAATTCTGTAAGTTTGTGATAATGGCTGATCTGAAAGTTCTTTACATTTTGCTTGCATAGATTCCAGCTTGATGTAGAAAAGGCTTGTCAACTTGAAAAAGTGTAACTTCCTGGTTGCTATTTTCTGTAATACATATTCAGCCTACCTCTGTCTTGCTGTCCTCAATCAATCAGTTGATACTATAGAAGAGGATTGCGTTCTCAACTATTAGTGCTTTTCTTTTCATATAGGCAGTAAGTGGGAATGCAGTGTCATCTGTTGCTTGCTGTACTCTTTTTTTAAAAAGACTATTTTATTATACTGCTTAGGGCAGGGGTAGCAAACTTGCAGCAATTGTGCCACTCTGTCAGGTACACTTCTGGGGGATGGGACTCAGAGTGGCACTTGGGGAGGGGGCAGGGCAAAATTTGTGGTATGCCTGCCAGAAAGATTGGCCACTCCTGACTTGGTGTTCTTAGCATGGAGTGAAACATATGAACATTTCTCAAAGTTCTGTTTTCATTGGAATTCTGTTTTCCTAAGCCCCTCTGACTCCTTTTGCAAGTCCCTCTTTTTCTTGATTCAGGATGGCTAAAGACCAAGTCCCAAGTATAATAGATAAATACCTTCAGTACTTGAGAAGGGAGGGAAAAAACTGCAACCAGTTAGATTAATCTCCAACATAAGTTTCTGTAAGGCAATGACTCTCAGCCTTTTTAGACTTGAAGTACCTCTTAGAAAGTACCATCTCTTAGTTTTCACTTTTGTTTTTGCGTGCAGAAAAATAACAGACACCTTTTTCTGTTGCAGAGAACTCAGACAACAACTGTGGATTTCTATTTGAAATCTCTGGGTTTATCTGTTTGCAAACCTAACAGTGATCATGTTGTGTGGCACCCCACAGCACCTTTGAAAGGATCTTGAGGCACCTTACTTGAACCTATAACCTTTTCATCTCAAGATTATAAAGAAACTCTTGCAAGGAGAATAGATGAAGTCCCAAATTAAGCATTGTCAAATTGAATTATCAAGTTAAGAGGTTCTGTTTTTGTTGGGTAATTAATTCTTAAGCCTTCTACAGTTCAAACAACAGTTAAGCATAGCCCTCCCAGTGACTAAGTATTATAGAACTGCATATTACCTTTTGCTTATTTCTAGATCCCTTCCTCCTACTCCTGAAACAAATGATGCCTTTTCAAGTTCCAGACAAGGATTATTTTTAAAACGCCTCCTATTGCGGACTCTCTGTCACTCATAGGAGCTAGATTGCTTGCATAGATGTGAACTAAGCTCCTTCCTTCCCTACAATTTTATACACTAATAATAGAATTTTGATAGTAGAGAGAGGAACTCAGTGCTAGTTGGGTCTGTTTCTCCTTATATAGACTTCAAAGTTGTAATATAGGGATCAGCAATGTTTTTGGGAGGAGTGCCAAAAACACTCCATCCTCAACCTATGCCTTGACTTGGCATGCTAGGGGAAGACAGCAGGAGAGTTGTGAGGCACACGATTCTTGTTGCTGGCAGTGGGTGCATGTGTGCCTACCATGGGCGGATGGTGGGGGTGAGGCTGGGGTTGCAGTGCCCCTGTCCCTTCCCTGCCGGGTGCCCCTCTTTTTGTACATATTTCTAAACAGGACCATTTGTAAGAGGGAGTCCTTTTTCCATGGAAGGTGACTCTGGGCTGTCTCCTTCCCAGCCAGTGATAGCTTGAAACCCTAGTTGGCTGATTTTGTTTCTTAGGGAACTTCATGAAGGAGCACAGGCCCTGAACTACACTTGGGTGCCCAGTAGCTTTGTGCAGTCATTGCAGCTCTAGCGTGTACTAGAGATGTGCCCAGGGCGCTGTCACTGCAGGGAGGGAGCTGCTGCTGCTGCAGGTGGGGTGAGGGGAAGAGGCTTTGGTAGCAAGGTGTGGTGGGGCTGCCCTGGTAGGTCTCCCCCTTCTGCAGCTTGAGGCTCCTCACTGGCCTCAAAGCACGCTATCATGAAGCGGTTTTTGGCTTCCCTGGAGCAGTGATGGGGGAAACTACTAGAGCCCTGCTGATGCTACTGCTGCTGCTATTGCAAGGTGCTCTAGCTGCAGCTGGCATGGGGACTTCCTGTTTGGGGAGATGGGGCTCGTGCCTGTCCATGGCCCCTGGTTGAGGTGCTGCTCCTTAGCTGCTGGTGGTGCAGATGCATCCTGAGGGGAATGTGAATTGGGATCCTATTGGGGCAGAGCGCATGGAGTGGAAGCCTCTGCCTGCAAGGCAGCTGAGGGAGCCCCCCTCCCATACTGGCCTCTCACCCTGGCACTTGCCACCTCCCTCTTCTCCAGGCACCTCTTATGTCCTATAGCCCCACGTGCACCCCAGCCCGGAAGGGAAATTTGGCTCCACGCATGGGCTCTGTTAGGTAACCACTGCCAGCTGTTTGCTGGTTGTCATGGTGACTGCCTCCCCTCCAGAACTGCAGAGCCTCTGGGAGGGGATCTTTGCAGGTGGGAGCCACCCCTCCATCCCCCCTGCCAAGGTGGTCCTGGCTCTGTGGCCCTTTGCCTTGGGCTTGTAGCTTGAAGGGGCACCCTGCTGCACCTAGACCTCACCTGCCACAGCCGGCCAGGCTCTGCTTCAGCCTACCATAGAGCCTGGGCTTCTTGCAGCAGGGCCTGCAGCCTCCTGGCCACCTGTGGCATGCTGAGCAAAACAGCCTCATGCATGCTGGGGGTTGCCAACCCCTGTTGTAGAACATGACCCTGAAAGACTGCTCTCTGAAAAGTTCAGAAGCTGTATATAAAACCTGTGTTGTCAATGCAGGTGGGCAATCTTTCTGGAAAAAAATAGTTTTTGAGATAATGACTGTCTTTTTGTTTGAGCTCAGACTATTTCTTTGTACTAGGTTTGTTGCTAACCATCCCTTTAACTAGTTCAGCTCTTTGTCTTTTTAAATATTGAAAGATCCTATGTACTTCAGGAATATTGCAGCAGGGTATAAAATAAAACAGGCATATCAGCATTAACTTGGTGTAGTGCTGCTCGTTTATCCACAGTGATTTAGATTAAGATTGTGTTCTTTTGTTTCCTTGTTATAATAAGTACAATTCTATTACCCTTTCCAAAGGGCTTGTAATCCTGAAAAATTTAGTGGGCAAAATTCAATAAAATAAAACCTTCTAATTCAAGCAGATTGTTATTGGGGATGGGGGGAGTTCTGTTATCTGAGGGGAACACCTGAAACTTCAAGATATTGTATTCCTATTACTTCATGGTCATGGATAAGAAAAATATACCAAAGCGTAAATATATTTTACTTTGCCTAATCCCAGTCTGAAATCCTGATCAGATAAACATATTTTATCTTCTATACAAGGCAAATATAAAAAAAAAATGGAAATGATTTTTCCATTTAATGTTGGAGGCACAAAAAAGAATCTTTATTGTAAATTGTTGGCAATAATGTTTAAATTAAAAAAAAATACTGTACTGTATTTTAGTCTGGTAAAATTGATTTGTCATTTTATTAGAAAAGAAAAAAGTACTTCCCTTTCATTCCTTTACTGCCAAAGCTCATTACCATTCCAAAGTTGCACATTAGTAAACCAGTAAATTGCATTCTTGTCCGCCAGGTATCGTAGGTATAATTTTATGAACTAAAGGTGTTCATCAATTTAGGAACAAAAGCCAATGTTAAATAAATTAATGTTGCAATTTAGTATGGTCTTTGTAGAAACATCCAGGTTGAATGGCCACACTGGGGTGGAGCCTGGGTGCCACACGTTCAATGTGTGTCTTATTCTCCTATTTTTGTATCTTGTCCACCATGACTTGGTGTAACGATAAAGCAGGGGTGGGCAAAATGCTGGCCGCATGCAGCCCACCAGGCCATTCTATGGGGCCCCTAAAAATTTAGAAAATTAATAGTTATTTGATGTCTTGCCAAAGCTCAGTAAGCGGCCCTCCACCCGAAATAATTGCCCGTACCTGCTATAAAGGATATTGGGAGGTCAGATCCCTGCCTGCCCCCATGTGTTTTGTGGCTGCCACCGAGTATGGAAAGCCCCAGAAGGGCTCATGAGCTCCAGCACTTGCAGCCTCCGGGTCCTAGGCGGTGCTGGCTGTGCCAGCCGCTTGCCCTCTTCTCAGGCTGGGCTCTAGGCCCACGTGGAGCCTGGCTTCTGGCTCTCACTCAGCACTGGGGGATGGGCCCATGGAGAGTGCACTGCTTGCCAGCTGCCCATCCTACCCCAGGAGTGGGGGCGTGGTGGAGCGTGCTGTCAGCCTGTGGGCTTGCTGCTTTTCCTTGGGGCTGACCATGAGTCAGTTGCCTGCGGACCATGCCAGTGATTGTCGTCCTGGTAAGTGTGGGACCGCCAGGTCCCTGGTATACTCTTACATTTTAGAAATGAATGTTTTGCTTTCTAACAGATGGAGTTGGAGGAATGCTTGCTAAGATTAAAGGAAGAAAGAAGAGCAAGAGTAAAAGCAGATGAAAGGATAATGGAGGTAGTGATTAGTTTTGTAATATCAGAATTTGCCTGGAGAGAGATATAATGGTTTAGCTATTATAATGGAGTGACTATTAATAACAATTATATATGTATTAATATGTTGTGAACCAGTTGCATCAAAATAGGTGAAGAGAATATTTCATTTTTTTCGTAGGATTTTAGCTGTGTCCAGATTCTTGGCTCAAAGTAATCCATGTCATTTACCAACCTTTGGGCAATGACGAAACCTAAATTTGGTAATGTGTGTTTGCCCTTTAGTTCCCCTACTATTGATGCTATGACAGAGCCTTGAACTATAGCTACTGTATAAGTCTGCTTACGGCATCCTACCTCCAAGCCATTTTGATTGTTTGTTTTCTATTGAGTGGTTAATCTTCTGAGTATTATTTATAGTGGGTAAAGAATTAACTAATTATTGAAAGGTAGTGGAAAATTCTTTTGGGTAGAGTTTAACCAAGAAGTAGGGATCTCTGCAACAAAATTCAGCATCAAGGAACAGGATATGTATATTAAAGGATTTGGGTCGTCCCCTCCTCTCTACCCACTTCTCACCCCACGGCATGTTCATACTGGGAACGCCCTGCCTTGCCCTCTCCTACCCCAGTGCATCTGGATCAGGGTCATGCTGCTCCTACCACTCCCCTGGTGTATCTGGTTTGGGGCTGGGCTGCTTTCCCCCTCTAAGTCAGGATCAGGTTCGATCTGCCCCTGTCTGGATCAGGACCAGGCTGCTCCTTGCCCCGCCCTCCCCGGTAGACAGATCAGGGGCTGTGCACTATGACTGTGTGAAACAGCTATGTTTTGTTTCAGTTTCAGATTCAGCCATTTTGGAGGGACAGTGATTTGTTTCGGTGCTTCAGATCACTGTTCTATTTTGATTCGGTTGAATCTGTTTCGGTGCTGATTTGGAGATTTGGATTGACCAGGGAAAGGCAGGTACAGCCGGGCGACTGCAGGTTCTCCCACAGTTCCTCCAGCTGAGCCTGCCTCTCACCAGGCAGGGGGAGCTGTGGGAGAAGCCCTCATGGCTGCCCTACCTGGCCCCAGCCTCCCAGCACTTTAAAAAAAAACAACAAAACCTCCCCCAAAAGCCGCCCTGTATTCACTGGCTGTAGCAGCGGCAATCAGGGCCTCTGGGGGCTCGTGGTAGAGCCCCCCTGTGCATCATGGAGCAGTGGGGGGCAGCAGGGATTGCCCCCCTCCACTTGGCACCCATGGGGCAGCTGTCGCATAGCGTGAGCGCAGCGGGGCTTGGCAGGGCACTGCACACTGCGTGGGAGCTGGGGTGGCTCCAGCAATCACTCAGAGCCCGGCACCGCTCATCCCCAGCAGCCCCAGCTCCCAGACAGTGCGTGGTGCCCTGTCGAGCCTGCGCTGTACCCGTGCCATGGGGCATCTGCTGCATGGGTGGCAGGTGGGGGGGGGCAATCCTCACTGCCCCATGCTGTGTGGGGGGACACTGCCACAAGCCCCCAGAGGCCCTGATTGCTGCTGCTACAGCTGGTGAGTGCTGGGGGTTTTTTTGCTTTTTTTTTTTTTTTTTAAAGTGCTGGGAGGCTGGGGCTGGGGCTGGGGCTGGGCAGGGCAGCCGTGGGGGGCTTCTCCCACGGCTCCCCCTGCCTGGGGAGAGGCAGGCACCCTGCCTGGGTCAGAGGCTTCCGATTCAATTTGGACCTCAGTTAAATGGGGCCCCCCATGCCACTCCACATGGCAGCTTGACCAAGCCCACCAGCCAGATCTTGTTCGCACATGGACTGGGTGCTGTTTATCTCGCCCATGGGGTAAAAAGGTTGGGCACCACTATTGTAAAATGTCTGGCCACAGGAGTATGGAGCTGTACATAAGCTTATTCTCATCAGGGTAAATTAGTCCATGTGGAGCTTTCAGCTGTTCTAGATAGACTGTTTCTGGTACCTGAACTAATTGGTTTGGTTTAGAGCCATCCGGCATATCTTTATGCTGCATTGCAATGATCAGTGTAGACATACTAATAAGCTTTAAAAAAACAATGTATAGTCCTCTAGTGATAACAGTAAGTGATATTTTTCCTTCCGTTTTTAATAGCTAGAAGTTGAAAATGCCAGATTAAGGAACCTGAACTTCTCTCTGTCAGAAGTACTTCATGCACAATCAGTAACTAATATGATTTTGGAAGATGAAGGTGTTCTTGGCAGCATTGAGAATTCTTTTAAAAAGTTTCATGCTTTTTTGGATCTTCTTAAAGATGCTGGGTAAGTTGCCTTTATATCTGAGTATTTTATTTCTTTTACCACAACCTCTTCCCTGGGGTTTTTTTCTTGATAATATGTGCCTTTTCTCCAAAGTGTCTATAAGTCCAGTGACAAAGTCAAAGGGAAGATAAACTTCCTCTCTTCAGGGCCTCCCTGTCTTATTTTTTTCTCTCTCAACCCGCAGCAAATCATGTTGTACCTATGATTTTTAGTTGCATAAACTTTGCTTATAGCTCCGTTCCATTTAACAGTGATAGAGGTGGCCGTTAAAGTGGTTTCTCCTCCAGGTAGTAAATCTCTGTTGGTGTTGGAGAAAAGACTAATAATTAGTTTCATCATGGTTTGATATAGTTTCAGATAGATGGTCTCTACAATCAGGAAGGAATGTCCATAAACTCCAGAGACAACTCCCTCTGTGAACTTCCATCAGTTTTCCTTCTGTTCCTTCCCCAACTCCAACCTAGATTTTACTTCTTTTCATTCTCACCTGAAGAGAACCAGCAGAAACTTGGTGAATTTCCTGAACAGGCAATACCAATTATGAGTGGTAATTGCAGAAAGCTATCACAAGGTTTACACTCTACCATTGGAAAGATCTCGTTGTAGACCTGCTTGTTACTAGAAAACACAAATATTAGGCTCTGTTTGAGAGAAGATGTAAATCCAGGATTCCTAACACATGCCTTTCTTTAGTTGAGCCAGAGGCTACTGTACACCTTTTCACTGTTCCCTGTAAGCTCCAGGGTAACTACCAGAGCTAGATGAGACTAAATTGATTTTCATACTTCTATATTAGGTAGGACATTTCTACTTGCTGTCCTGTCTCCACAGTTTCCAGTCATGCTTCTAGATCTTTTATCACAGAACCAGGGTTTGGTGCTTCATTCAGATTCAATATCATTACAGTTAACAGATGGATACTGGCTAGATTAGTACATTGAATGAAGACTGCTCATCATATTTCCCTACAAAACAGGAAGCCAACCATGAAAAAAACCTAGTCTTCAAAATGGAAAAGATATTTCATATGTCCCCACAAGGTCCTACTGCCTGAAATGTCTTTGATAACTAAAATGCTAGATTACTTACTGTTAGGTTTGAAACATTACAGATTTTAAATTGATCAAGATGCTCTTGGTGACAGTATTCCCCATATTGCCTTCCATGCAGGTATGCTCTGTCTTTTTCTATCAGGGTTATCAGAGTTTCTCATACCTGATGCCCATATGTCCTTTGGTCAGAGAACCTCTTTCAGATTGTGATGTAAACATTAACCTATGGAAAATTATGGAGGCTTAGTTTGACTCCTGTGGAGTTTGGTGGCACAGAAGTTAGGGTATCTTGTAGGGCTGTGCAAAGCTTCGGGTGCTGATTCAATTTGGAGGAGGTTCGGCTCGATTTGCTGACCGACTCTCCAAATCTGAATTGAATCAGGGGACCAATTAAAAGTTCAAATCCATTTGAAGCTCTCCAAATCTTTGGAGAGCTTCGATGATTCGGGCAGTCCCGGCCCACTGCAGCAGGGAGCTGGACTGTGTGCTGGTAAGTAGGGGGCTGGAGGAGCACGGAGAGGACCATGGGGGGACCCCTGCCAGGCCCTCCCACCTGCTCCCTCATCCCTGTCCCTCATAGCTGCCCCATCCGCCCCAGCTCCTGGTGGTTTGAGGCCCCTGATAGACATTAGAATAATGGGGTGGTGGGATCTTGTCCCTGATCCCATTCCTACCATTATTTTAAATGGAACCTTGCAACCCAGTTGGTGTTGCAAGGTTCACATCCAGGGGAGTCCAAGGGCCTCCTCACTCTGTGGAATGTAACCTGTCCAGCACAGCTGGTTGGTTACTTGACACTGCAGCTGAAGGGTAAGGCAAGCACCATGTGGGGAAGTGGTTGAGGTACTGGGTTGCATGGGGCATGGAAGTGGGTTGAGGTGCTGGGTTGCATGGGGCTCACTGTAACCCAGTACCTCAACCCACCTTCCTCTGCAGCTTCTGAGGGACCTCTGGAGCAAGGCAAGCAATGTGCTGGGTTTCAGTGAGCCCTGTGGCTTGCCATGACTTTCTGCCTGGCCCAGCTGATGGACTCCCTGTGCCTCAGCAACCTGAAAACCATGCAGTGCAGCCCCATGCAGGGCTCCACTGCTTGCCTGTCAGCTAGGCCCCACCATGCTGTCTAATGCTGCCTGCAAGGCAGGGCTACCCAGCTGCATATTCAGTTTATGGCATGATGGAAGCCAGCCATAAAAATGTTGTATAAAACATGGGGAACATTTTTGTGTCTGGTTTCTCATTTTCTATGCTATTAATTCCCTGATTGTATGGCAAGGTTACTATTTATAGCATGATTATCACTTCAGTTGCATTGTAAGTTAATGCCTGTCAGAGACATGAGTTTCACTTAAATCAGGTCTGCCAAATTCAAATGAGTTGTTGAGCTGGATCCAGACTGCAGGGCTTCTTCTGGGCCAGATCCTGAACATCTCACAGGCCAAATAACCCACCTCTGGATCCAGACCGTGGGGCTTCTTGCAGCTATTCAGAATTATGAATACACTGCTCTGAGTAGGTTTTTCTTACCTTTATCTTAGCCAATATTTTTTTTTCTTTCTAGACTTGGTCAATTTGCTACAATAGCTGGGATAGATCAATCTGATTTTGGTTTGTTGGGTCATCCTCAAATGAATTCTACTCTTCGTAAACCTGCTAATGCAGCAAAGGAGAAGTCATTTGAAGAAGAAAGACAAGAGCGCACAGTGAATAACAAAGTAAGTGTTGGAGGGGGGAAAGCTTAAAAAAAGATTGCGATTAGTGCCCTTCATACAGTTAATGTGTCTTGACTCTTATCCTGTTCTAGGTGGCAGTGATATATTAGTGATGCATCCATGAAAATGTTAGTGTCACTGTCGTAAAATAGACTGGCAGAGAAAGGACATATGTTTTTGTCCAAGTCCATATTAATTGTCCATTTAAGCCTCTCAGATAATACAGGTCAGACAGAATGTTGTGTATCCTGAATATCTGGCTAATATAAATTGAAATACTGAAATATCCTGTAATACTGATAAGATTAGGCTCTGCAGCAGGCTGCAAAAGTAAATTTTGTGTAAAGGGAAGTGTATACTGGATCCCAAACCTCTCTAAGACGCACAGATCTGAGGGCTGTCAGATTGTGTGTTCCACGTCCATGTTAAAAGTGCTCCAAATTATTTAAAAACATGCTATCAATGCAAAAATCCTGTAGAAGTATCAGGGCAGTGATGAAATCAGTTAGGTGGAATCATCTTTAAAATCAGTTGGAATATTAATGTATTGTGATGTTGTCCATCTCTTTTAAAAACTGGTTTCAGTTTTTCTTGAAACTTAATTCAGTATAGCACAGTCCTGTTTTTGAGGCTACACACTGAATTTCTGAAGCATATTGTTGCCACTGTGAAAGCAAATTAAGTAAAAGGTTAATCTAGTCCTGCTACTGTCCCACAATGCTCTAGTTTTGCAAAATCTCATAGCAGGCCATGTTAATAATGGTTGGAGATTTGAAAAATGGGTATCAGTATGGCATTGCAGTTGAACTAGTTTAGGACAATGCTCATTTGGACACCAAGAAGACTTGTAATGGTTCTTAAATACTTCAGCATGACTAATCTGGTTTTGCTGAATCTTTTGTGCATTTTAACTTACCTAATAAAATAAGTTCAGTTCTGTAGTATGGGCAACTTTGAAGATTAAAGGGGCTATGTAAAACAGCGCTAGAATGCTTACTTCTTCTATATTGGTTTCCACAACTATCACTACCCTTTCAAGCTAAACTTTTAGGAAAAACTAAGGGACATTCTAAATATGCCTTCATACCCAGTTTGTTATATAATTTATTAACTGTACACATAACTTTGTAAAACAAGACAACAAAATATACAGCTCTTAGAGTACTCATCATTACGTTTTTTGGCTGTATTAGTAAGTTGGTTTCTTCATTATTTCAATATGCATCTTTTCTTTCAGAATGCTGATGGAGATATAGTTTCTTTTTCTGGCCTCATCCAGGCCCATGGGCTTGTGAATAATGCCTTTGTTGTTTCCAGAGAAATGGAAGGACTTCAGGTTGCTCTTCCACAACAGCAAGGCTTATGGGAAGAATGTGAAGTTCAAACAGATAAGCAGCAAAAGGAAGAAGAAACATCCAAAAGCAGCAGGCTAACGTCTTCAGACAAGAATGTCAGACAAAGTGAACAGACAAAAGGGTATTTCTCAAAGAAGCCATCAATTACTAGTCAGCATTCAGTCTCTGAATCTAGTCTTAATCTGAATAGTAAGGGTAGCAAAAAATCCAGTGCTCTTTCTAGTGAAAAAAGTAGAAGCCGATCCTCGAAAAAATATCCACATAGAACAAAGGAAATAGAAATTGCAACTGCTGAAGCCAGAGGAGATCAACATGTACCCAAAACAGATCATTCAAAAAATGACACTATAGGATCTGATTCAGAAATACAAGAAAGTATCCATTCTGTGGCAAGCATTTGAAATGGGTGTAAAGAGAAAGTTCAAAATGTTTTCCTTATAGAGAGAGAAGGAATTTTAAAAGATTTATATTCCTGACGCCTAAACTAGTCGGATTTTTTGGCAAGAATGTATGGTTCAAAATTGTATAGAACAATTCCACATGCTGTTTAGCATTCCCATTTCATGAACACAGGTTTTTGACACAGAGTTTTTTGTGTTGGCCAAAAAAAATGATAAATCATTAGAAAGATACCCTTTGGTATTTAGTATGAGATTATAAAGCTTAGGTGATATGTGGGCTGTTGATTTACTATTGGTACAGATTTTGTTAATGAAGTTTTTTACAAAATAAAATGAAATAGATTAATAGTTATGATTTGCCTTGTCGTTTGATCACATTTGAAACTATTGTAGTGTTATAATTACATATACACTTGTGCCTAATACTCTATGGTATATTCTCCCTTGGAGACATAGTTGAACTCCTAACATTATTGGTAATATTGCTTGAAAATCAGGGTGAATCCCCTTGCTATTCAGTATTTTTAATACATTGTTTATAGATACAACAGTAGTTTTTTATATCCTTCCTCTGACAATAATGCATTAAGTAATTTATTTTAATCAGTTGTAATATAGATGAGCCATATACTCTCTGGTTAAATGTAAAGTTTCAAGGAGTTTTTGCTGGTTTCCTTGCACCAGAGCAAATCTATTTTTACTGAACCTATTGTAAATTACCCTGTTTTTGTTTAAAGTCGATTTCTAAGTGTCTTCAAATATTAGCATTCCCCACTGAATTTTTAACTTCTAAGATAGTTATATAGAACAAAGCCAATTTGAGTTGTTTTCCAATAAGAACTTAAGGGGGATAGAATTGGGATCAGTTCTGGTTTGCTGATTTGAAACCGGCTAGTGAAGTAATCATCAGATTGGTTTTGTTAAATGAATTGTTTGTTTTGGTCCCATTCCTAGTGGACAGGTGTTGACTAGAAAACCTCATGGCCATCTATTTTTTACTGTGGTTGGAAATTTTATCAATGAGGTGAGTGACAGAATGGGCATAGAGCCTGAGAGCTGAGATATATAGTATATCCAAGAGTAATGGAAATACCTAGAAAAATAGAATTACATCATTGCTCTAAAGGTTCTCCTGGAATACCATTGGGACGCTATAGATTATGCAGCGGGGGAAGCTTTCTGCCTATTTTGTGGGAAAGTATTTAGCAATGGTAAAGTCTGACAGAAGTTTCTTTGATTTTTAAAGGAACAACAAAAACTTGTAATTTGTTTCCAGCAAACTTGTTTTCCCCTCTTACATGGGAAACTGCATTTAATTAAAAATGCTTTTCTGCCTGTAATATTGGATGATCATGGAAGCCATTCTTTCACGACAGGTCATGAGATTGTGTTAAATTGGTTTCAAAGAGTATGGTAATGTCTCTTAACATAAGCATCACGGGGGCACTTGGGTGCCCCGTGCCTAAGTAAGGATTAGAGCAGATGCCAATCACCAGGGCAGCTCAGCTGCGGGTTGCTAGAGCAACCAGATGGGACATGTGACCGGAAGGGGGCAGGGCCGGGCCCTTATAAACAGCTAGGCCGGAGCCTGGCTGGCAGTTCCCTTCTGGCAGCCTGCGTGTAAGAGCTCTGCGGGAGAGCTAGACTGAGCAGTGCCGCTTGGCACTTAGAGGGCTGCATTATGGTGCAGGCGGAGAGAAGCCTGACTAGAAGGCTTTGGCCTGAGAGCCAGGACGGCTGGGACCTGATGTAGAAGCCGGTAGGCTGATTGTGTGGTTATAGCCGGTGGGCTTATGATTTGGGTTGCAGCCGGTTGGCTTATGTTTCAGTTGTGTGTATCATCCGGAGGACC